GTTAGAAATAATAATATCGTAGGTGCAATTATATAGATAATCCGAAATTTAATGCATTCTAATAATTTGAATTCGTATTAGGAATAAACTCATATCATAATTAGAATATAATTAATTTATCTTGAAAAAGAAGTTAAATACCTTAACTTAATTGATTGTCAAGAATACATGAACATAACTACATTATATAGTTGAGAATTGAAATAAATAGTAATAAGGGGATTCTAAATCCAATACAATTATCCATAATTTGATACAAATCTTAGTTTTTCAATATTTCTTAGATTAAGTTCGAATAATTACAAATCAAAATCTATTTTATTTACATACTTCGAACTTCATACAAAGTTAATAGATTTGAATTTAAATTTATTCTCTATATGACGATACTATCAACTCATTAAATCTATAACTTGTCAACAATCACGTACGCTTGCGGGTTTCGCTCGATCAAATCTTTGATGTCGTTGTCGAGAAATAACATATTTAATTTGAGTTTTATTAGTTTATATAGGATTTTATTTATCTTTTATTTTGTTTCAGGCTATTAATCACATATCTAATCACTTTTTTTTTTTTTCAATTTATGTAAGATTTTGAATAAATTGAGCTCCTACCATTGGATCCCGAGATTGAAAGTACTTTCAAACAACGAAGAAGAAAATAGAGAAAAACAAGAGAAATGAAAGAAAATCAAAAACAACTTCAGTTACCTCTAGATCCGTCAACACAACTAGTTCCACCAAGAGTACTTGCCAACGATGGCGAAGTATTAGTACGTGATTATATAATTCCTGCTCCAGCTCCTATGCAATCAACTATTATCTATCCACATTTCGAACGACCATCCACATTCGATCGGATGTTATCAACTTATTTTAGAATCACCAGGACATCGAGATCTTTGGAAAACCAACCTCCAATCTGCATAAACAAATACAAGCTTTCCTGATACTCTATAACATAATCATTCACGAAGGTATGTCAGGAGATGTTTTTTGAATGTGCATATTTCCTCGTACCTTGAAAGGGGGCATACGAGAATGGGTACACTTACTACCTTCTGGGCACATCGTTTCGTGGAATTGTATGGTACATAAATTCACCCTAAAATTCGTTTCACCATCTTGAGTTCATCAAATCAGAAGTGAAATCCATACTTTCAGATAGAAGAACCTCGAGAGCTATCCAAAAAGTATGGGAGAGGTTCAAGGACTACTTCAGAAAATGTCCAAATATGGACATTCCTAAGAAAGCCTAGCTCTACATATTCTATTCAAGCTTGCATCCTCCGTAATATGACCGATGCTAAAATATGAGGATCAATAATGGTTATGCACATTGACAGAGCATATTAGTTGTATGAGAGAATTGTAAAGAATTAATCTACGTGAGAAACAAAAAGAGAAATTTCGAGGAAAACATTCGGTATTCACAACATTAATTCAGTTACATCATTTGCATCCCAGTTAGAAGTATTAACAAAAAATTTGGACAACCTAACTTAGAGTGTGAACTTGGTGCACCAATCAGCGGCAGCGCCACTCTGTGTAGGATGCAGGACAAATCATACAATTGCAAGCTGTCATTTGCCCTCCACTCATGTTTATCAGTCCGATGAGGTTAGTTATGCGTAGAATTCCCAAAGATATCAGAACAATCTTACTCCAACAAGTATAATCCAGTTTAGAAAAATTGTAGAAAAGTATAATCCAAAGACTAAGACCAATTTTCAAAATCAGCGGCCATAATAAAAAAATTGAAAACTCAGATGGGGGCACATAACAGCTGCATTGTCCAACAGAACACGAGGTACCTTGCCAATTGATACAGAAAAGAACCTTTGGGAATAGGTATTAGCAGTTGAAATTGTGAATTATGCAATTATTGAGACACCATCAATTAAGTCTTCAACCCCTGTTCGAGCATATATGCAACTCATTACATTTCCTCAAATGTTTCGAATGTAACCAAAAGAGGAACAAGTCCAGACCATTACAACATAGTGGTGTCAACGAGCCGAGTCGGGAAAAAAAAAGCTCGAGCCGAGCCCGACCAAAAAAATGAGGGTCGGCCCGAGCTTTAGCGGGCTGGGCCGAGTAGAGTCGAGTCCGGGCAGAGCCGGCTCAATTTTTTTTTTTTTAAATCTACATTTTAAAAAAAAATTGTACATTTTATGCTTGTTCTAAATTAAAGAAATTATAAAAGTTAAAACCCTCCTCCTTTATTCGAGTTTGGGACTGGCTACGATTATCATATGCAAAGTTAAAATTGTACACGAATAAAATATTTCGTATACAATTTTTCTTGAAAAAAAATTAAAAATTACGTATTT